TCTCCTTCCTTCCCTCCTTCCTTCTCTCCTTCTCTCCTTCCTTCCCTCCTTCCTTCCCTAGTGATGGAATCTTATGAGTCTCCCCTGTGCAATGACATCATGTCATCAGTGGTGTAATCATAGCTTGTATGGGATGCCCGTAGTTGACTGAACACTGCTGTCCTTCTCATTTACTCTCAAAGCGATTCTGAAGTAGGCGATAGCAAGACAACATCTTTCTGAAGGCCACAGGCCATCATCTAAGCTAGCATTAGGACCATGAGTGGGAGGTAGAACCTGTCCGTGTGCAGTTACAGCAGCTGGTAGAAAATTCGTGGAGTTGTCATCCCAATTTGAGGGTGCCGGTCTGAAAAAAATCTGATTGAATTGAGATTGGATTCACAATCCTACAGTCATCTTTCAGATGCCTTATTTCCATAAAGTTATATATTCTAAATCAATCACCATCCACTGCTGGAGCAGACTTTCCGATTCTTGGCATAAGAGTTATGACGTTTCTGTGCATCTCCTTTGTATAACTTATTTGTATTTTTATTGCTTTTCGTAGGATTTATTGTTCTCCGACTAAATCCTATGAATTTGGAAATCGTTTTACATTCTTTTAATATGCAGACCAACATGTTCAAAGGACACCACGTGGATAAATCACAGCCTTTGCCGACAAAATAGTTTAAGTGTGGATCTTGACCTATTGCAGCCAGAGTTTTTATGTGACTTTGAAGGAAAGTGAGATAAGGTATATGCTTCTGCTTCTACCCAGCAAAAGCCAAATTGAAACCCCCAGGACTTAAAGGAGTCACCTTTTACTCCTGTGCTACTTATCTCAATGTCAGAAGGGCATTCCTTCACTGGGAAATGAGCCAGCCCAAATACTGAAAGGGGGAGATAGAAATATTGCAAGTGTAAAGACTCTTACGTTTTTATTCTTTTTTTACTAGATGATGGATACCTAGGTAGCTAGATAGCAAAAGGGAGAGCGGGAAGGGGAAAGGGGGAGGGAGGAGAGATGATGAGAGATGAGAGAGAGGGGGAAGTGATAGAAAGATGATAGAAGATAGGTAGATAAGTAGGCATATTAGATTATAAATAGATGGAGAGACATGATAGATAGATAGATAGATAGATAGATAGATAGATAGATAGATAGATAGATAGATAGATAGATAGATAGATAGATAGATAGA